GGGCACGATCCAAAGGGAGCGGTACAGACCGGAACCTGGCGGACTTCCTAGGAGAGTTTAAAAAAATATCTGTTTATTTTATTTGATTTCAAAATAAATTAGGGAAAGCTTAGAAGGTAGGTGGGGACAGAAAGAAAAGTACATTCAGGCCCATTCACTCTGATGTAATTAATGTCATTTTTAATTTTTTTTTCATTTCTAATCCTTTCCCAAATACATTTTTATTTGTTCTCACGGTCATGAACAAAAGTGAAAAGCATTAGTTGCTCAGTCGTTTCCAGCTCTTTGTGACCCCATGGACTGTAACCCACCGGGCTCCTCTGTCCATGGGATTTTCCAGGCAAGAATACTAGAGTGGGTTACCATTCCCTTCTCCAGGGAGTCTTCCCCACCCAGGGATTGGACCTGGATCTCCTGGATTGCAGGCAGATTCTTTACCATCTGAGCCACCAGGGAAGGCGATGTGTAAAATATCCTTCTGCTCTGTGTCACTTGTAGACTTCTTCTTCCGGGTACTCGGTTGCCTCCATCTGACTGCCTCTGATGGCTGATTGGGTGTGTTGGGATTGAATTAGCTGTGACCTTGGAGAGGCACAGACTCAGGGCCTCCGGTCCCCACGCCCCCATAAGCATCCATCCTGTGCTTTCACAGGCCTGACCTTCCGAGCCTTATCTTGCTCTCCCAAGCTTGTCTGTGCTAATCCTCCATGATTTTTCTCTCACTCCCAGCAAATCCTGGCTCCTGGGAAAGCTGGTGTTTTTAGCAGGGTCCTCCCCACCCTCCATCTCTGCCACCAGCCTGGGAACCAGGAGAGCAGGTGAAGCCGGGGGGGGCGGGGGCGGTGGTGCTCCCCTCTGCCCCCGGACTATGGAAGGGAAACGCTGTTGTCAGGCTTTTGACTTGAAGCTCTTAAAAGTCAAGGGCATCTCCTGGGAAGGAAAATCAATGGGTAAGACAGTAAGGCTTTTGCCTGTTCCAAGGTGGGGTCAAGGGGAGTCAGTCCTGGGAGGGCAGATCTCTCATTACTGGTCTTTGTTTGTGTCGTTGTTATTTAAGCCATTCTAGGGGACATTATGACATCTCTGGAGGCCTTTAAAAATAGCAGAGTTTCTAGCTTTAAAAGTAGCACATGTCCACTGTATAAAATTTGAAAAATATCCAAAGTATAAAGAAGATAAAAATCATTTCAAATAGCACCACGCAGAAATGACTGAAGTTAATATTTCAATACATCTGCTTTTCCGGCTTTTTTTCCCCATAAATGTATTGATGGTTTGAGGATAAATGGTTTAATGTACAGTCACTTGGACCTGCATTTTGGTTACAGTGTCATCACCTCCAGGCCAAGGAATAATTGAACTAAAGATTTCTCTCCCTGTCTCAGTCCCTTGGTCTGTGAAATGGGCCTAAGGTGGAACCTTCCTCGAGAGCTTGCAGTGAGGCTAAATGATGTCATATAAATACATGTCAAGCCCCAGCCCAGTGCCAGGCACACAGTAGTGCTAAGTGGCTTCAGTCGTGTCTGACTCTGTGACTCTAGGGACTGCAGCCTGCCAGGCTCCTCTGTCCTTGGGGTTCTCACAGTAAGGCACACAGTGAGTGCTCAATAAATGCTTTTCGTCATTTGGCCAATCCTGTACACAATTTTGTGTGCTTATCGGGAGGCACTAGTGGTTAAAGAACCCTCCTGCCCATGCAAGAGATGTGGGTTCAATCCCTGAGTCAGGAAGATGCCCTGAAGATGGTAACCCCCTCCAGTATTCTTGCCTGGAGAATCCCATGGACAGAGGAGCCTGGCGGGCTATGGCCCATAGGGTCGGCAAATAGTCAGACACAACTGAAGTGATTTAGCACGAACATACACAATTTTGAACCCTGCTCCTTTTCATTTTGTATTAGGATCTCAGAATTTTCCCACGTCTTAAAAGCTGGATAAACACCATTTCTGTGGCTGCATGAGACTTCTCCCTGTGATTTTTTTAACCACTGTTTACCATTCAGGGCTCCTCCAGCTTCTCACTGTTTTTGATACCTCCTGCTGTGATGAAGTTCCATGCCTGTTCATTCGTTCTCCTGGTTTCTGATGATCTTTAGGACAAATAAAGAGGTACAAACATATTGGGTCACTGGATTTAGGAATTTCTTTTTGGAGCTCCGGATAATTCAAAACCTGATTACTTTTTTGGGAGGGCAATACCACTCTACATTCCCTTGATGCCTTTGCTAGGACCAATCTCACCTTCCCTTCACCAGCATTCTGGGGAGTTGATGTTTATTTGTAAAAGTGACCGTACCCAGCCATGCCTGTAACCAGGAACCTCTGGGGATGAGAGGCGGACACTCTGGCCAGGGACATTTTCAGGCAGGATGAGGGTGTCTGGTTTCCGTGTGTGTGTGCGTGTGTGTGTATGTGTGTGTGTGTCTTGTTCTGTTGGCATCGGCACTCTGCGGCCAGAGGTATTAGCTCCCAGAAGGGCAGGAGCTGTGGGAACAGGAGGATGCAGACTGGCGTGGTTGGGAGGAGGCATCTGTTTACGGAGCATTGCTAGGCAGCTGGGCTCCCTCTGAACGCGGCGGTCCCAACAGGTGGTTTCCTGGAGGGTGAGCCAAGTCCCAGGCAGTCTGGAGGCGCACACCTGCCGGTCCATGCGTGGATGTTGTCATCAGTAACCAGGGACACGGAAGCATCCCCAGTTCCACCCCAGCCAGCTAAAACCCGTTCCAAGGTGGTTTCTTTTTCAGTTGTTCCTGTTCTTTTGGAAATGAAGAATTCGCCACAACAGCTTGGTCAGGCCGGAGCCTAGCAGATAGCTCGGAGGCTACTAATAATAATGAAACTAATACAGTGACCATTTCAGAGAACTGGGCCCTTGCCAGGCATGTTTTCCTGTGACCTGTTCTGCAGCCACATGGGATGCACGCCCCCTTGTATCCTGGCTTTTGTGCATCGTTATTCCCGGACTGCTGAGACTCATTCGCCCTGTACTGAACACCACCACCCACCCTACCCCACCCCACCCTCACCCCCAACGGCCAGTGAACTCTTCTAATCTGAGCAATCCAGACAAAACGAAACAGATATAGAATAACATAACACCCATTTTATAGGTGAGACTCAGGGAGGTTAGCTTGTCCCAGCTCACCCGGCTGAGAAAGGACAGAATCAGGGTCTTATCAGGGTCTGTCTCCAAGCTCTGCTCTTTTAATATCCCCTGTATACTCCCTTCATACAGCTGGTGTGGGGTTTTGTTTTGTTTTAAATTTTTTTTTTTTGATGTGGATCATTTTTAAAGTCTGTATTGATAATCTGTTACCATGTTGTTTCTGTTTTATGTTTTGGTTTTTTTTTTTGGCTGCAAGGGATTCAATCGGGTTGAACCCACGTTCCCCACATTGGAAGGTGGAATCTTAACCACTGGACCTCCAGGGATGCCCCACAACTGGGGTTGATGAGGCACCCATGGCTGTGCCACTGGGTGAGGTTGGGAAATTCAGAGAACAGCAAAGCTGATCTGACATTCAGCTCCTCACAGCATCGTAAGGAAGCTTGTGAGTTTCCTGTGGATGCTGTTTCAAATCGCCACACACTTCCTGGTTTCAAAGAACACAGCTTTATTTTTTCATTGATTTTTATGTTAGTCTAGTTGCTTTACCATGTTCCATTAGTTTCTGCTATACAGCCAACTGAACCAGCTCTGCGTTTACATATATCCCCTCTTTTTTTTGGATTCCCTTTCCATTTAGGTCATCGTAGAGCCCTGTGTCTGGGCTTTCCAGGTGGCACAGTGGTGAAGAATCTGCCAATGCAGGAGACACAAGAGACACGGGTTCAGTCCCTGGGTCGGGAAGATCCCCTGGAGTAGGACATGGTAGCCCCCTGCAGTATTCTTGCCTGGAAAATCACATAGAGGAGCTTGGTGGGCTGCAGACCGTGGGGTTGCAAAGAGATGGACACAGCTGAGCACAGCACAGAAGCGCAGCCAGGCGCCGTGTAGGGTTTCCTGTGCTACACAGTAGGGTCTGTTAGTTACCTGTTTCATACTCAGTCACGTATATATGTCCATCCTGGTCTCCCAGCTCATCCCACCCCCTGCCCCACTTCCCCTTGTAGTGTCCATATGTTTGTTCTCTATGTCTGTTTATCAAATAAGGTCATCTATATCATTTTTCTGGGATCTACATGTATGCATTAATATATAATATCAGAGAACATAGCTTTATTATCTGACCGTTCTGGAGGTCATGTGGTCTCACTGCCCAGGGACCAGCAGGGCAGTATTCCTTCCAGAGACTCCAGGAGAAAATCTGTCTCTTTGCCTTTTCTTGCTTCTAGAGACCACCTGGGTTCCTTGGCTCGTGGCCCCTTCCTCCAGCCTCATAGCCAGCAGCATCTCTTCTTCTGTCGCTGACTCTGCTTCTGTCAACGGCTTTCTCGTCTGTCTTCTGGATCAAATCCTTCTCAGCCCCTCTCTTATAAAGACCTTTGTGATTCCACTGGGCCTATCCAGAGAATCCAGGATCCCTCCACATCCAGATCCTTAATTTAGTGGAGATGGGATAGGGGATAAAGTAAGAGTTTGGAATTAATATTTAACACTACTATATATAAAATAGGTAAACAACAAGGACCTACTATATAGCACGGGAAAACCTATGTAATAGCATATAATGGAAAAGAATCTGGAAAAGAATATATATATATATATATGTATATGTATGCACTTGTATATGTGTGTGTATAACTTAATACTTTGCTTCACACTGGAAACTAATACAACATTGCACATTTACTGTGGTGGTGGCTTAGTCACTGAGTCATATCTGACCCATTGTGACCCCATGGACTGGACCCCATGGACTGGACCTCCCAGCTCCTCTGTTCATGGGATTTCCCAGGCAAGAATACTGGAGTGGGTTGCCATTTCCTTCTACAGGGGATCTTCCCAACCCATGGATTGAACTCACGTCTCCTGCTTAACAGATTCTTTACCACTGAGCCACCTGGGAAGTCCCAAGCGTTAACATGTCAAGATTCTAAATAACCATACCTGGGTCTGACCGCTACAGAAATCCATCCCTCTGACTTTAATTCTGTGCCATTCTCTCCATAATTTCTCCTATTGGTAGGGGGAAAAAATCAAGGTGTAATATAGATACAGTAAGAATATCACTCAATGTGTTTCTTTTATTAAGTGTAATATGTATACAGTATGATGTACAGATTACCTGAATCTTCAGCTTGTGTGTGCTCAGTTGCTCAGTTGTGTCTGACTCTTTTGCGACTCCATGGACTGTAGCCCGCCAGGCTCCTCTGTACGTGGAATTTTCCAGGCAAGAATACTGGAGTGGATTGCCATTTCCTCCTCCGGGGGATCTTCCCAATCCAGGGATTGAACCTGTGTCTCTTGTGTCTTCTGCATCGGCAGGCAGATTCTTTACCACCTTGCCTTGCCACCTGGGAAGCCCAACTTTCAGCTTACAAATTGGTGAATTTTAACAAGTGCACCATCTGTGCAACTACTCCTCAGAATCACAGGAAGGGAACCTGTAGAACCCCAGGAGCTTCCCCGCTATGTCCCTTCCCTGTAAACACCAGCCTCCAGCAGTAACTTCTGTTATGATTCCTTTCACCATGATGAGCAGTCCTTGTTCTTGAACTTTATATGAATGGAATCATGCAGCCTGCATTCTTTGTGTACATATGTTGTGATGTCTTTTGCTTGATATGTGTCTGTGAGACTCGTTCAGGTTGTAGGGAGCAGTCGTTCCTTCTTTTTCATGGCTGTATAATATCTCTTTGTGTTAAAGCAGCACACTTTTCCTTTCGTCTTATGGATGGCAGTTATGTCGTTTCCAGTGTGGGGCTTCTATGAATCCTGTGATTAAGAACATTTATTGGGCATGCCTTTTGGTGGACTTCAACACTTGTTCTGGGTTGTACTCAGAGGAGGACTTGCTAAATTGAAAGGTTTGACATGTTTCCTTTTAGTAGAGATGTCCAAGCAGCTTTCAAAAGAGTACCCACTCACACTCCTGCCCGCGATGGATAAGATGAACCCAGACTCCATCGTGAGACCCCCAAGCGCAGAATCCACCTGTCTCTTTGACCTTGCCCTTAATCACCTGGGAGAACCGATTCTCCAGCTGCTCGAGTCTCAATTGCTCTCTCTTGCCTCTCATCCTTTGCATCTCCTGTTCCCTCTGCCTGGAACACTGTTCCTTGCAGCCCTGCCATCTCATTCTGCCTAACTTCCCTTCATCTTACCTCTTTCGAGAAGCCTCCTCTGATCCTCAGCCTTCGTTCAGTCCCCTCCAAGGGCTCCCTTGCCCCCAAGACTGGCCAGGTCATACCTGTGGCCACTCTGGGCTGTAGCTGCCCAGGTTTGTCCTCTCCAAGTGGGGGATCTGGTGTGAGTGAGGCCTTTGAATACAGGACTTCTGGGGGGATGCTGCTATGGTGATGCTGAAATCCTACCGGGTTTAGAGGCCGAGGCCAGATGCCTCTCCTAGGCCCCTCTGTTCTTCAGTTGTGAGATCTTAGGCTAGTCACTACCTTCCTGCGGCTGTTTCCTCAGCTGCAAAATTGGCATCAAACCTGCCTTGAGTCAGAGACGCACTGAAAGGACCCCTCAGCTAATGGTCAGGAAATGCTTTTGTAAACTGGTAGGTGGCATTTAAGCATGCACACAGAATTTTGATGTCCGCTAATTGTTTTGGGGTTGATTGAGAAGGGAAACTGCAGAGAGCTGGCCAGGAACCCCTCTGTCCCCTCAAAACATAGGAGGATGTGGAGATAGAAGAGAGTGGATGGTTTTGGTCGTGAATGGTGAGCTATGGGATCCCACCAAAGACCCAGAATCCCAGAACTTCTCAGGTGCCCAAGTCTTGTTGAAAGTTTGGTTTATGGAACTCTTACCTGCTAAGCTCTTGGAGCAGAGGTTCTTGAAGTGTGATTTCTGGGCGGCAGCTTCATCATCACCTGGGGATGGATTAGAAATGCTGGTTATCAGGCCCCCACCCCAGGCCGCTATATCAGAGACCCTGGGCATGGGGCCCGGCAGGGTTGGCAACCCCGGCACTCCAGGAAGGGAAACTCACAGATCCTCCTCTCACTCTCGAAATCATTGGGAATTATGGATCCAGTTACTGCCGCTGATTCACCCTGCTCCCCTGAGGTTCCTAGGGCCCCAGACCTATGCTGAGGAGGCCAGGCAGGTCGAGGCAGGCCCCGCACACCTGGCCCTCTGGTTTGTGTGAGGCACTGGGCTTCGGTGGAGACTGACCGCGGGGCTGAGCTAGGAGAGACGCTGCTCTCAGATGCAGGGTTTGTGGGCAGAGGACCAACGTGGGCGGACAGGTTTTTATTTATTCATGTAGACACAGACGTGATGCTCAGATCCACAGGACTGTGCTGGTTTGCACCGTCAGCTCATCAGAATCACTTCTCACTGCTTCTGCAGATTCCTAGGAGAGGAGTGTCGGAGGGGACTGTCAGAGGGGAGGTGCAAGGACCGGCTAAGGCGGAGGGACTGGGATTCCGGGAAGGTCACGGAAGCAAAGTGCAATAGCCCTGGGGGACGTGGCCTGAGAAGCCGCTTAAAGTGTGACCAGTGCCTGCTCTCGTCCAAGCTCCCATCACTTGGGCCTGGACGGAGACAGCTTCCTAAATGACTTCTTGACTTGTTCTTACTTCCCATCCTGGCCTCCTCTCCACAGGCCACCAGAGTGATGTTCTTAACTCTGATTTGGCCATCCCCCATAGTTGCGTCGAAGTCCAGATCATAGCGCAACAAAAATCATTCAGCATCTTGAATGACTGAAGGCACTTGCCTTCTACCCATCCTCTGTTCCTGCGAAACCAAACTGCTCAGGTGTATGGTACACACTGTTCCCCGGTCATTCTCTTCTCCGGCTACTGTGGCTGGTGAACTCTTATTCATCCTTCAGAACCCAATTCACATATTCTCACCTCCTCATGCAGCTGCCACTCTGAGGAAAGTTACTACCCTTGACCAGAGACACACAGCACGTCCAGAGGGTGTGGCCCATAGCAGACAAAAGTGGAGAGTTCTCTGGTGGATCAAGGGATGGAGAAACACACACACCTGCTCCCCTCTCTCCTTTCATCGCCCAGTGTTGGAGTAGCCCATCTCTGTGCAAGAAAACATCATGTTGTCACAAACCATCATTGAGAGCTGAAAGTCAAAATTTCTAAAACCTGCTTCCAAGTGTCCAGATAGGAAGATTTCAGTTAAGAATGGCTTTGAATAGGGCCATCTTAATTTCAAGCCAATGTATGTTGTCATAGCAGATTCCAAGAAGTCTCAGAAGCGTTTCCCAGTATAGACTTAATTATGGTCCTGTGTAGTAGTTTACTTATGTGTGAGCATGAAATGCCTGCCACTGATTTCCCCGGGGCCTAGTGGAGCATCTGTGAGCAGAGAGACTGTTTTGCCTTTGCCAAGGCCAAGGGATTCCTGCATCCAGAGGTCTCCTGATGCTGGCAGTTTCAGACTGACCCAGAGCACTGTCTGGGAGGGCACCTATGTAGCTTTTAAAGCTTAGCTTCTCCAGACATCACCTCCTCTGGGAACCTTCCTTGATTTTCCCCCAGTCAAGGGAATGAGGAGCTTACTGCTGCTGGAGATGGTAGCTTAGACCTCCTTGCTTTTAGACCATGAGCTCCTGGAGGGCGGGGATGCTGTGTTTCCATCCTGTGAGTTCTTGTGTCTAACACAGTGCCGGGCACAGAGTTAATATTCATGGTTTGTTGAATGAATGAAGGATTCTTCATTGATTGATTAGTCTGGATTTGAGGGAGTCCCTGACCCCCACCTGATTCTCTGTGCTTTGCGCTCATCTTTCCCATTTCATGTTTTCATTTCCTGTTTCTCTTCTGCTCTTGACTAGCCTAACTAATCTCTAAGCACTGCCCTGAACGGCTGAACCAGAGTGACTGCTGCTTTCTATTTGAAACACCAGAAGGAAAGTTATTGAGCTCACCAAAATTTCCATTAAGAGCAGTGCGGATCGTCAGAAGATAAGCGTTGGTTATCTCGGACTTGTGTGACTTTGGATAGTTTTGTCCTGATGACTTCTCTGAATGCTGTTCTTTGAAATGATTCAGTGAGGTTGCAGGTGGGACAGGAACTCGCAGCTAAGACTTCCGGTCCTCATTTGTTTGCATCTCCAGCAAGTCAGCTAATCAGAAGTCTGACATCTAAGCTTGATTCTTCATCTTTGGCCTGGACCAGGTCCCCATCTGTAAGATGCTCTTGGTGGCCTGGGACTGGGGATGGGTCCTTGGCAAAGGCTTCTTGGCACATACAAACTCCCATTTTATTCTGAGAGCACCTTGAGATGGCCTGTCCAAAATGCCAGCCTCTTATTAAGGCCTCACTCAGCCAGGAAATTAGTGAAGGGGGTCCTGGCAGCAGGGGCATGTGACGAGACCCTCCCTCTCTCCCTGTGCTCACGGCACCAGGCAGCACCAGTTCGGGGCCCAGGGAGAGATTCCCGCACCCACGTCTGCCTACCGGGAGGGGATGACAGAACTGATTCCCCAAACCTTTTCCCTCAAGTCTCTTAGGTCTCCTGAATTGGCAGGCAGTTTCTTTACCACTGGCACCACCTGGGAAGCCCACCATATATTTTAATTCCTATTAATTTAAAAAAATGTGATTATAGAGTATTTCAAGCGTTCACCAAAGTAGAAGAGAACAGTGTACACTTCACCCTTTGCAGCTTCAGCACTAATCCAGCTTCGATCTCCCGTATGTCACCCTGTGCCCCCAGTCCGCCTCCCCCACCGGCCCTGATTGTTTTGAAGCAAATCCCAGACCTCAGCTCATTTTATCTGCAGATGTTTTAGATGAGAGCTCCAAAAGAAACATTTTCAAACCATAGGAATGGCAACATCATCACACCTGACAAGTCAAACAAAATCCTTTTAATATCGTCGAACACCACCAGCACTGAGATTTCCCTGATTATCTTCATGCATGGCTTTGGTTTTGCTTTCTGCCATTGTTGTTCAAGTTGGGATCCAAACAGGGGCTCCCGTTGCACCTGTTTGCTCTGTCTTCCAGATCTCTTCTAATTAGAGGTGCTTTAAGGGCAGAGATGCGGGAATCCTTTTTATTATTGTTATTGTTATTTTTATTGGAGTATTGGAGTATTGCTTTATACCGTTGTGTTAGTTTCTGCTGTATGGCAAAGTGAATCAGCTATGCATGTACCAATATCCCCTCTGGATTTCCTTCCCATTTAGGTCACTGCAGAACATTGAGAGTTCCCTGTGCTATGCAGTACGTTCTCGTTAGTTATCTCTTTTCTATGTAGGCGAGTATACCTGTCAGTTCCAGCCTCCCAGTTCATCCCACTCCTCCCTTCCCCGCCTTGTTATCCGTAAGTTTGTCCTCTGCATCTGGATCTCTGTGAGATTTGGACATTCCGGAAGGGTTTAGAGGGGTCAGTGCCACTCCAGCCCCGCTGACCACCTTCCCTGCCCCTCCAGCCGTGGCTCGGCCCCCGGCGCGAGATCCCTGGCCTTCGCCGCACCGCTTCTCTCTGCTTCTATCCGTCCTTCTGCCTCCCACAAGTGCCTTCTTAGTCCTGCCTTTATTTCCCTGTGTCCTCAACACCCCCCAGGTGTCTGTGGTACTGACCTGGATACAGGGATAACAATGACGAATCTCACTGAAAAGATACTACATGCCCAACCTCTGTCAGAATCCGTGCACACCAACGTGTGCGTGTGTGTGTGATCATATATACTTGCTACCCTCTGTTGCCCTCAGGTCTGGACTGAGATGTCTCCTTTTCGGTAAGCCTTCCCTAGCCAGGGTTTCTGGAACTCAGCACTAGGGATATCTTGGAACAGATCACTCTACGTCACGAGGGGCCGTGCTGTGCATCAGAGGAGGTTTAACAGCCTCTCTGGTCTCTGCCCACCAGATGCCTGTAGCGCCTTCCCCCCCGAGTTGTGATCATCAAAAACCAGGAATTGCCAAATGTCCCCTGGGGTCAGAATCGTGCCAGAGTGAGGACTACTGGTTGAAATTTTAATTGGGAGCATTAAAATACCACCACTTTTCATGCTTCACTCACAGGCTCCTTCTCCCTTCCCTTTTATGTTTGATTTTTCTCTTTGGCTCTTATACCCTACTAACAGACTAGTCATTTTGTGTATTTATTCCCTTGGTTGTTAGCCTCTCCATATCAGACTTGCAGGTGTCACACATCTGGGGCTTTTGTTGGCATCATTTGCAAAATACCCACCTATGCTGTTTCCCCAGGGCCTGGAGCACTGTCTGGCCCATAGGAGGGGTCGGTAATTGTTTGTTGAATGAAGAAGTGACTGTCTTATAAAAATATTGTGAGACACACCCAGTCAGGGGCTCCCCCACCAGTAGTCACAGGTTTGGAGGTGTCCTTCTGAGGCAGTGTGCTGGGACCAGCTCCCTGGGGCTCAGGACACGCTTCCCTCCTAACCAGTGACCAGAGCCATGTGCCCTGGTGTCCAGGAACCAACAGGAAATGGCATGTGGCAGCCGCTGCTGCAGAGAGATGCAGGCAGCTCCCCAGGGGGCATGTTTGCTGACCACGTGATGGCATGATGACAGCTAATCACGGGTCCATGCCTGCCAAGCTTGGGCAGGGGTGGCAATTAAAATACCGGCTGATTTCAGTGTCCCAGATGCCACGTAGCCTTGGGAAGCTTAAAAGGTGTGGTTAGTGCAGTGTGGGTCAGATGGGCGGGCAGGGAGGGGAGAAAGAAAACAGGCGTTTCCAAGCAGAGCAATGGGGAGAAAAAGACCAGAGAAGAGAGAGATGGACTGGGGGTGTGCAGAGATCTGAGAGCTGAGCATTTCCAGGAGGAAGCAAGCTTGAGCCAAAAGCAGGAGGCAAGGACTACACTGCAAATGCGGGGACAAGAAATGATAATAACTGGGAAATAGAAAGACTGCAATCATGGAT